TTTTAGTAGTCCTAACTTGTATGGGATATTCCTAACCAAAGTATGTGACTCATATTGATTCAAAATATGAACTCACCTCTTCCGCAGGGAAGTCATAGCACTCTGCGATCTTCTGGTACAACTCTCGTACGTTGGAGAACCCCGATATCAGTCCTGTGGGGCTCCCCTGGGCTTGTTGACAATGGAACACCAGTTTCTGTTTCTGCGGCTCCGCCATCGCCACTTCTCGTTCACTCTTCACTCCATTATTGTTCACAGTGGGAGTAGGTGTGGGTTTGGCAGGCGAATCGTGAACTCCGTTCGGGTCCTTGAGGAACTTTCGCGTGAACAGCGGCATATCTCCGCAACACTCGCACACACACTGACACTAGCCACACTGCACCACTAGAGATAACGCTATCTACATGATAAGAACTCTCAGAAATTGATTAAAAACTTTTGACATAGATAATTGTCGCGTAATGTTTTATATTTATTTTTTTCGGAACCGCACTTAACGAATTATGGATTGGAGTGTACTGGCACAGTCGAGACTACGCAGAAACTCGACATTTATGTTTGTGAGATGCACCGCGTCCCGCGAGTCGCAATCGCAATGAAGAATGAATGAAATGAAGGGAAACCAGAGGACGAGACACTAGCGACAGCCGACAAGCGCCAGCTTCAGCTACCTAGCGGGGGAAACTGTAACTACCAGGCGCTCCTGTAGCGAGATTGAGAATATGCTGATGCTCTATGTGAGCATCGCTGTAGATGACAGCTGTAGCTAATAAAAAGCGGAAATGTTAATCTTGTACTTGTAGTTGACTGGTTAGTGGTTACATGATAACTAGCTTCCGGTTTATGATTATGATTATTCTAGTATGGACTATGGAGACGATTAGCCTCTTCCCGTCTTGGTAACCGAACAATAAGTTTTGATTTGTGTTTCCCAATAAAAAGAGAACGACAATACACACAGGATTTTCAAAAGATTATATCTATTCTAATAAAATAGAAAATCCTAATTTTCATCACACTATGATGTTTTTGGTGGCTGAAAGTTACGTTTTGCTGGCCATGCCAGCTGCCATCGTAATTTGGGGACCGAGCAGGTTTTTACATCCCGGGGCCGCAAAAACCAGCTGTTCGCTTACTTTCTTAAAACATGAATGCATATTAAATACACAATCAATATCACCGTTGCCTAGCAACTATTTGTATTATCTATCTATACTATTATAAAGAAGAGGTGGTGTCTGTGTGTGTGTGTGTGTGTGTTTGTATGAGCTAATCTCAAAAACTACTGAACCTATTGGGCTCAAATTGCACACACATGAAGCTACAGTTCCGAGGATACATATAGAACTATTCCCGCTTCAATATTGACCTAGGGCTCTGCCCCGTGGGCTTTCAAAAATCGGAGGTGAGAGATTTCAAAGTAAATTTTGATTGATGGTATCCATGACAACAAAGAACAAACCTACAAAGTTTAAAAATGTAAACAAGCAGTACTGACTGTCAAATTAATTTTGATTTCACAATTCCATACAGCTGGTTTAAACATTCATTTAAATACTGCATGAATATTAGAACAGAGAGGGTAAGGATCATATTTAAAATAATGATGTCACTATCCTGAATGTAAACATTATTAAACATTACTTAAATGGAGATGTCAAATTATACGCTAATGTCATTTCATTATAATAGGATTCTTTCAGCTACATAATTACAGGGTGCAGCACTATTTTTTGCATTTATGACAACAGCACAACAGCTAATTTGAACCAACTAGCCACAAAAAGCTGTGGTACACAATGATACCTTTACTTTTTTCTATGGTTCAGGGGCAGTGGTAGAACAAAAGAACCAAACTTTCTTAAACCATGTCCTCACCCATAACTGCAATAAGCATTTTATACTTATATGCCAACCCCGTACGAAGGACGGGTACTCTGCTAGTTTATTATTATTTTTGGTGATACCTCAATGGTTTCTTCACATAACCTTAAAGTTGTAGTTGTGTTGACTGTTAGTGTACATTCTTATTGTGGTGAATAGTGGTAATAGGGTATAGTGTGGTGAAAAATAGCGTTCGTAACACGGGCCGAAATGGTTTTGCAGCTCTCGATTGTTTTAAGTTCTCGACTTCGTCTCGAACTTAAAAACTATCTCGAGCCGGCAAAACCTCATTTTCGGCCCTAGGTACGAATTATTCTATTTCGTTATCTCATTTAAAAAGAAAAACCAAACATGTCCTACTCATCTTTACAAGATGTTTCAGAGTATGAAAAATGAAAGTATTATTTAAGAGTATATTTTATTAGCTTTTTTTTAAGAGGTTGGTGGCCTCTTTTTAACCTTGCATTTACCCGTCCACATAGACTACCGTACAGATCTGCGGTGCGTGGAAACGTATACAGCAAAGCAAGGGGTGAGACGGTACAATACAAAGGTGAACTGTACCACAGAAAACATATTACTATAACCCAGAATGCTCACCGCATGGTAAAAAGCATTAAGTGTTTTGAGAGAGCTTTGCCTGTCAACCGTAGGCAGCGCCACCAGCGTCGCTATTCTCAAAACACTTAATGCTTTTTACCATGCGGTGAGCATTCTGGGTTATAGTAATATGTTTTCTGTGACTGTACTGATAAAATATTTGCGGCAGTGATATAGTGACCAGGATCCGAACTCACGACATCGCTGCCTTCGGCCCATTGACGCTACCAACTGAGCCACCGACTCACCAAATTAAAATGTTAAATAGTTTAACATCTTTGCCACCAAGGACTGATTGTTGAATATATAATACATAGATTAATAGGTTACGTACCTTAGTCTGTATTCAGTCTTAAATAGTCTAGGGATGACTAGTTCCGGTTCAAAGACCAAATATCAAATCCTTGTAAAACATCGAATTTGGAGTTGAGCCGAAAGAAGTCTTCATCAACACATAAAGTTCACAATTAAAAACACAATTTAAATAGCCTACATTTAAAATACGATAGGCCGGCCACATGATGCACGGGACAACCGACACAGGTTAACACGGCAGGCACGACAGAACTATCTATCTTCTTAAATCTAAATTCAATTCAGTTCAAATATACTTTATTCACAGATATACAAAAGTATACATGAATGTATATAAATTGTGTTTTTAATTGTGAACTTTAGATAGTCTATTACTAGCATTTTATGCAATCCAAAGTGGTAACCCCACTATTGGAAAATGTTTCTATCGTTCAAAGACAAATAGAATCTGTAATATTTGTTATCGAAGTATAATTGGATAGGCCCGCCGCACATTGGAGCGAGGCGAGGTGCAGGCATTGACTATATATACCTATAAAGTCAATGTACAGCTCGGAGCGAGGCACCTTCAGTCCAGTATCGCAGTGCGAGGCAGCTCGCTGCGAATGCCTCGTTGTGAATGCTCGGCTTTGCCTCGGACTGTGGATACCGGGGTCGCTCGCTGTGAGCCCCTGTGAAGCACTCTCGTCGCACAATGTGAGGCGAGCCGTGGACTTGTCGGTCTCAGAGCAGTGCTCAAAGAAAGGTGCCTCGCTCCGAGCTGTGCGTCATCATGGATAGTCATGACATGATCAGAGATTTAGTGAAGTGTTATGGAAAGCAAAGCGGGTGGTTCGTGTGCTCGCAGTGAGCATTCGTGGTTACAAACTAGCTGCCAGCTAAAGAGCTCACCCTGAGGCAGATGGCACGAGGCATTCGCAGCGAGCAGCCTCGCACTGTGGATACCGGCCTTTTCTTTGAGCACTGATCTGAGACCGACAACTACATGGCTCGCCTCACATTATGCGACAGCGAGCAACCCCGGTATCCACAGTCCGATCGGCAAAGCCGAGTATTCGCAACGAGGCATTCGCAGTGAGCTGCCTCGCACTGTGGATACCGGCCTTACAGAATCATACGTACCTCTCCTGCACCTCGCCTCGCTCCAATGTGCGCCGTGCGGCTGACCTGGTTGATAAGACTACCATAGCCAGTGGTTTAGTCAGAATAGGATCTTTGGGGGAGGCATAACATCAGGAGGTCATAGATCAGGTCGTCAGGTGTTCCGTGTTCCTGTGGTTGTTTGTGTAGCAGACAGGTCTGATCAATAGCAAAGTGGTGTAAGGTGCCTTCTCCTTGACCGAGAGACTGAATTGAAGATTGATGATTCAGATTTTTTCTCGGTCAAGATTAATATTTAGCGTACATGATTGTATCAAATACACATAAAAGGGAGAAACATTTAAAATTACTGCTAACATATTATTATTATGGGATAATAATGGGAGAAAACATACAAAATTATAGGGAAATTAATATACAGGTGGTGGGAGTACTATGGTATTTTATAGGTAAAATCACAAAGTTGAGTTGAGAATACCTTTTGAAGCTTAATTTTTAGTATAGGAAGTTGTACCATTTTGTTTCTAGCTACAAGGACCATAGCATCCTAAATTTTAATCAAAATCGGTTGGTTAAGCGGTTTTCTTATTTTTATTTTATTTTGTGGATTTTTTAAGGGAAATTCACATAAGTTACAGTAACTTTTGAACCATAACTTTTACAGCAATGGGGATTGTACAATTTTTTAAAGTAAAAAGGAGCATAACATACAAAATTTTAATCCAAACCATTCAGGCCGTGCGGTAACTATGATATTTTATTGATAAAAATCACTAGTACCATAGATTAGTACCCACAGACCAAATTTCATCATAATCGAATCAAATGTGTGGTTTGTATAAAAAATTATAGCTCTGTAAGCATACACACACATAAGTTTTAAATCCACTTTTTTGGGTTCTGGGGGACCCAAAACGAATAACATATCCACCAAAAACTGAAAAATTTGGACAAAAAACAATACTTTCTCCATATACTTACGTATAGGGGGGAGTAAAAGCTTGCTTTTGCAATGGGCAAGTCAGTACTGAAAAAGTATACGGTTTAAAAATCATAATCATTTTAATGAAAAACAGATACTTTGCAATAATAATGCAACATTACATTAAAATAATGTGTTACTTATGACTTTGATTGGAATGCTGGTCTGTAGACAGCAAAAAAATTGTTTAATGTGTTTTATATTAATAGAAGGCCTTTCCCCCAACCCTTGACAAAGTTCCCTATGGACCCCCTTGCATAAGACTAACAATCACGTACTGTTTGTTCTTAAGACTCAATCACAAATGGATATTTTTCTTGCTTCTGTTTAGCTTCTACCTCAAAGTTTCGTGTCTTGCTGTTCTCGCACATTTCCTGATCAAAAGCCTTCCATCGCCAGTTTTCATACTTTAAGTCAACATTTTCTCTAAAAATTCTTTGCATTTCATATGTTTTAGAATAACAGCATTTTCCAATCTTCATGAGATATTCAAATTCAAGTTTCTTGCAATCATAAGCAATCACTTTGTTGATGAAGAGTCCATCTTTTATCACTTTGTCACCGAATTTCACTGCATTTGTGTATTCAACAATATCCAAAAGCCTATGGTCAACGTAAATTTTCACAAAGAATCTTCTTTTCAATACTAGACTAAGCATTTTGTGATTGGTAACTTTAATAGCTTCAGCTTTCACTTTGTAATCACATTTTTCGATCAAGTCACTTCCCCATTGGTAGGTGGCTTCAACCACCATGTGCTTTCCCTCTACATTCTTTTCATCAGTTATAGTTTCGGGTACTCCAAGAAGGACGACTAAAACAGAAAAAATATCATACTCCGAATTATTCAAAACATTTTTAAACAAAATATTTTGTGTTGTTAAAAATGGTTCCCAAAACCCTTAGGTCTCATCCTGAGTGTACATCTTCTGAGTTCTACTGAGTGAATGTTTAGAATATTGTTAGGTAAAAAGTGCATTTCTGCCCAAAACTACACAGATTAAATAGCTTAAAAATATTATTAATACTTATTAATAAAAAAAAATTTTATAATATTGAACACATTTTTAGCAAGATGTTAAGTGTAGGACCAAACACATTAAGATATTACCCTTAGTATCACAATACGGTACTATTATACATACATTTTATTTTTTTTTTAAACTTCATCATCATCAAACCACTTTATAAGCAAAAACATTTTGACCAAATTTCTTTGCCTCAAAAAACAATTCAATTTTAAAATTTGAAATCAGTGGCTTTTTTATAAACTAGATATGGTGATATTTAAAGTTTAAAGCCTGTTAATTTTGTATGTTAATGTTTTCAAGTGTTTGTAAACCAGTATGACTGATTTTTATCATACTAATATTAATAAATGTGAGTTTGTTTGAAGTTCAATCACATAACTACACTGGTTGGATTGGGCTGAAATTTGGCATTATGATAGCTTAGATGTTTAACCCCTTCCGGGCTCCGCTCCAGTAGCCCTGGAATTTCCCATTTTACCTTATGAGTATTCATACTTAAAAGGAATTAAAGAATTTTGTCAGCTGTTTCAACTTAACAAGTTGGTTAAACCATTGACTATTGGATACAGGTTTAAACTCATTGTAAATATGAATGTTATTCGTTTTGAAATAACTTCTGTAATACTTTGCAATTGCTCGAATTCGAGCAACGTGTATTCTAGTTTGTTAAATTAACTAGCCTACTGTAAAAACAAATATTAGAACACCATTGGTGTGTCATTGAGCATGTTCCGGGAACACGAACCGGTGTGCATAAATGCGTCGTTCTGGGAGACCGGTGAGCAGGCCCGCTTTATAAACGGGCAGACTGGACATATGCCCAGGGGCTTCAGTGCCAAACCACCGCCGGACAGCACTAGGAAAAAAGGGGGGCGCTGCTCTTGGGTTTGCCCAGGGCTCCACTGACCCTTAACGCGGCCCTGCCGGTGAGTTTACTAGCAGACAGCTATTTCATCTTTTACCTCCATCGTTTTAAACTGTGATCAACATCATAGGAACTAATTTATGTTTTAGAATAGTTAAGGATTGACAAACAAATTTTAAGAAATCAAGACGAAGCACCTGTACATGTGATTTTCACAAGTTTGTATGTTATGTGCATATTAATTATCATTATTATTATCATTATCATACGGTGTGTAATACACCAGCGGCCTCTGATTGGTCAGTTTCTTGAACACCAGTATCCAGCTACGGCAAGATGGCGGGTTCATAGAATAAATGTTTAATTGTTTATCAGTTTGATGGATTATTATAAAGTAAGTAAATAATGTATTCTCTGTGAGAGTAAGATTGTCAGATTGTAAGCGAATTTCCCATATAGGGAATAAGCTATTACCGTAGTACTCATGGCAAGACCTGGACCCGGGACGGATTTACTTTTTTGTTTTGAGGTCCCCAGAGGCCAAAAACACCCTCCGTTCAAATTTATATATATATATTGCCCGTATATATATGCCCGTTAGCGCGATAAATCAAGCAAAAATGATCCGATTTTGATAAAATTTGGTAGACCTACGTTTATTCGAACGAGTTTGCAAACCACCATGATCGGACTATGGGAACAGAGGTTTATGGGGTAAAAGTTTGTTTTTCACATTGTTGACTTAAAAAACATAAAATTTCACAATTTCTTTCCAAACCATTTTGTAGAGCTTAAAAAAGAAATAATTTTGTATATTGAAGTGTTGTTGTATGCCTAACGGTTACGGAGAATAAATAAACTATTGTAGTATGCTTGTTTATTTCATACTAAGCTATCAACATTTCAATAAAAAAACACCTACCTTCCCTGTAGCAGCAAACCTAGGTACTCATTAAAATTAATGTTTTTTTAAAGGAAAAAATCTGACCATTTTTAGAAATTTTTTTTTTTTTAGAAATCCAGCTAGGTAAATGGAAATTTGCTTAGTCTGCAGGTTTGCTGCGGCGGGGTTGTTAGATGTTAATATAAAAGAAAGAGTAGGTTGAAGTGTAAATTACAATCCAATGTGACCGTAAAACGGAGACTAACCGATCTGGGAGTCCGGGACTCTTGCCATGGGCAGTACCAGTGAGAGAGTTACCGGATCATCTACATCGGTGTATTAATACATGTTCCCAGAACGTGCCCATTGTTCATCATTATCTTCATAGAGAACTTACTCTGAAAAGGATTTGAATCACCAGTAGGAGTTGCTCCCCCATAGCCCAATACGGTACAAACAACCTGCAAACGTGTGTTTTTAATGTAATAAAAGTACTGCAGGTAGTCTGGCCGTGAAATTAACCTGTACCTATTACTTTTTTGGATTACACTAAAGGTTATTTACATCAAGATTCTTTTTGCAGAATACTATTTGATAATGTGAGTTGTTTTTTAATAATTTTCCAAACATGTGATACTTAACATGTTTAAGTAACTGAATATTAGTTAACATAGCACCTTTACTTACCCTTAAAAAGGCACAAGGCGCTCTCAAAGGTTGAGTTTTCCCATAAGAATTACATAGAACAAATTAAAAAACAAAAGACAGCTGTTAATTAAAAAAACTCAGCAGCTTTTTGGAGAGTAAATACTGATGTTTGTTATATTCAGGAGGTTATAGACTAATGTAAACAGTTAATCAGTTTGTTTAAAGAATGGAAAATGCCTCGACTTTAACCCTTTCCACTCGAATTATTTTGCATGGCTGTTCCCTCACACTTGCATTTAATTTAAAGAAAAATGGCATGTTTTTGGTTTTTAGTGTTTTTTTTATCTAATATTAGTTATTTAATAAGGTTGAGCTATTGATTCTTATTCAGCATAAATTATTATACAATATAAACATAAAATTACAATTTTAGTTTTAAAATTTTATTTTTGGTATGGTCATAAATAAACAAAAGCAAAATAAATTTTTACAAAATCCATATATTTAGGCAAAATAAAAATATAAAACTTTTTTTTGGAATATTGAAAAAATATTATTTACATTCCTTATGTAAAAACAAACACAAAATTTTAATTACATAAACATTTACTTGTATTATTATGAATAAATTATGTAAATTTCTAAAATTTGAGTTTTTGGAATTTTTGGTTTCCACGGCGACCAAACTTATTTCAAAGCCAACTAAATCGTTCGTGGTTGTTTTCTTTGATCCAAGGGCAGCTAAAATAAATTGAGAAAACCATTGATCAGTCTTTCTTATCATTTTAAACATTTCTGCACTATATAAAGTGAGTTTAGAGTCGTTTAAAACAATGTCGCGGCAGCCGCGACATTCGAGTGGAAGCGTCAATAATGGATGTCGCGGCCACCGCGACATACGAGCAGAAAGGGTTAAAGAAGAAATATTGAAAACAGGAGGAGACAATTAATGAAAGATCTTATGCGTATGTTTGGTATGAACAGTAAGGAATCAAGATACACACTAACTTGGAGAGATGAATAATATTTGCCAGTTCTGCTATGCAACTTACTTTAGAAGTGAAAAAAACATGAAGAATATACAAATCATGTTGTCACAGTAGTAAAGTAAACCTGCCTAATGTCAGATCAAATGAATAAATGCAAGAAATGTTTACTGGCAACAGCTATGGGCAAGTCGGGAGACTGTAGAAAACACTAATATATACAAGGCCAGCTTCTAAAAAAATAATAAAATATTTACAAAAAGTGTTAATTATATCAAACTGTTATTAACAGCGTAAGTACAGTATTTCCATTAGTTATACATATCAGCTTTTAGTTGAGTGTTTTATAAACTCATTGCAAATTATGACTGTTATTACTGTAGTTTTAAAATAACTCCTGTACTAGTAGAACCCCGTCGAAATCGACGGTTAATCTTGAGGTTTTATGTAAATTCAGCTAACTGCGATAGATAGAGTGAAGTCATTAAAATCTTAGTTAAATGAAGGGAGGATAAACATAATAATAAGTATGACGATTGTGTTCCCTAAAAATCGTGATTGATGAATTCGTTTAACACAATATTTCCTACCTTTTTATCGGCTTTAGGTTGCCCAAAAGGTTTTTTAGGAGTCTTATAATTGTTTGTTCATGAGTTCGTTTCATGTCAAAGCCACTTTCACTATATGGGAGAATGGGTTCATATAATTAGTCTATCATGTTACGGAAATAGTCAATATTTATTACTAACAACTAATTCAATCTGCTTTAGGAAAATCATTCAGATTGTATCCGGGTTTATAAGTAATCTTCATCTTTGGTCATAAAAAATACAGAATTTTATCAGCATATTAAATCAGTTTTTTTTTGTATTTGATAAAAATATCGGATTCTCTAGAAAGCAGTAAGATTCTTACTTCGATCTAAGCAATTTTAATTCCTTCTCTTGCCACATCGACCCATGTATTTAATCATCCTGTTCTTACTTGATAATTCATTAACTTATGGGATAGTTTCGCCTTGGCCAGATCGATAACATAAAGCTGTGCATGTATTTCGTGGATGGAATGAACCATAATTGTAGGAAATTTGATCACAAATCTTGAACATTTGCGGAACCAAATCCATAATCTAGTCCAGGCTTGGTAACAAATTATGCAAATGCGATTAGATGTGATGACACTGTTGTGTTTCCGAATGCTTTGTATGTAGTGAGGTTTAAATGTGTTGTTACATGTGTACAGCAAAGTAAAAACCCTGTACACATTCTTTTAAATACCTGAATTGACATTAGTTCACCTACTTCACAAAAACCATAGATGAAACATACTCCGTAGTTAGTCTATTCCAAAACATGAACACAGCTCTCATCCTCAACGTACTCATCTATGACACAATTTTTTACTCGATTGTCGAAAACTTTTATACCAATAAATGAATTTCTGGTGTTCTTTCTTGAATTCAAAAATAAATGGTAATTGAAAGTAGGCAAAAAAAGGCAAGTGCCAACCTTACAATATATATAAGCTAACCCGATAAGGAATAATTATGTTCCTTTAAAATTGATATGTCACACTTATTTCATAATTTAAAATTTTCTAAGAGCAATAAAGCATATATCTTTGATCACAACATTTAAAACGTATCATAAATTCATCATTTTGTTGAAAATATAAAAAAACTTGCCATGCAGTGGAGAATCAATTTAAAATCATAAATATTAATGTAAACATTTAATTTTGACAGTTTCAGTAGACTTTTGAATACAATTTATTATTAACAGCTGGTTCATTAAAAGTAGTGTAAAATTATCCATATGGTCGTAATGTAAACAAAATTGCTGAGTGAACTTTAAAGGCCTCTGGGGCAGAGTCCCAAGGAAATTTACCTCGTTTCTCTTTTGAGGGCTCACCTACAGACCAATACCTTTCTTTAGCCACCCCTGTAATTGTTTGACAGTAAAAAGTTCGTAATTTTATGTTTGCTCAAGATTATATTCTGTATTTAATTTGATTTCTCATCTATTAACACCAATACTTAACGTGTTTTCATTGATGGTTTCAATAAATCGATCTTGGTTGATTTTAGTCTGACTATCATGATTTTGGTTCTGTATTGATAGGGTTAAAATAAAATTGTTCTTTGTAATTTATTTAGGTTTTCATTGGTTTTTAATTTAAAAATTTTGAATGAAAGCTATTTTACAATTTTCAATTGGACCAAGTTGATTTAAAAATATATATATATATCTCTTATACAGTACCTTTAACATGTCTTCAGAGTTTCATACAAAACTCATCCTACACTCATCTACATTCATACTTGGCTTAAAATACCTACAATCGTTTGGTCGCCATTTCAAAGTAAAGTATTAAAGAACAGATCAGTTAAACAGTCTAAAGATAAAAATTGTGAGTACAAAATTTAACTGGCGGATACATGAAAAATGTTACATAATAGGAAATCATTCTTGATTTTCTCTTTCTTTTGACCCGTAGAACCATTTCAAAGAGTTTGACACTTGGGGGAAAAACTGAATCATAGGCCTACATTAAAGTTAATGGAAAGTTAAAATAAATAACAAGCTGGTATGCAGTGTTTAAAAATACAGACTGATAAATGAAAACAATGAATCCAAGATTTTTACTTACAACAAACAGTGAAATGAAGTGTAACTTCATATTAGGAAACTAAACATCAACTGCAAAACACATATGCTGAACCAACTGAGTCACAGACTTCATATGATTAGCTTGTAAAACATTTTAGTTTAGAGTTATGATGAAATACAAACACAGTTCTACCTACCAATAACAGTAGTTACTTTATACAGTAAATGCACGATAAAATATTACATCATCTGATGGTTACGAAGTAAATTCCAAAAACTTGTAACGTTTATTAATTTAAAATTGCCATGCTATTTTTATGTAGAATCAATAAATTGTTGTTGTTTTCTTGTTTGGGTATATGTTCCCATAATTGTTTTTGATTTCTTACTGAGCTATTAACATTTTAGTAAAATAACACTTTATTACCATCCTTGTAGCTAACCTAAGTACAGCTCACTGAAATTTTTATTTAGAAGGGAAATAAATCTGACAGTTTTAAGGGAATTAGTGTACCTGTTGCTTGAATTCCAGCAATTGCTAAATATTACAGGCGTTATATAAACCAAAAAAGAATAACAGTCATAATTTCTGATGACTTTAAACAATTTGACTCAAAGATAATGGAAATACTCAAGATGTACATAACAGATCGATATAATCAACATTTCTTGTAAATATCTTATAATTTTTCAAAAGCTGATCTTGTTTTTTATGTTTTCTACAAATGGCCTTACTTATAGCCGCATTAGGTTGTCCATAATAACGATTATAAATTCTAAAAATAACATTATTTCTATTTCTTCTCCATGGTGGTGTTCTTTGACTTTCCTGTTTCCATAGTTTGCAAATCGGCTCTTTCAATGATTAGAAATGCAGCACAGTATTAATTCAGTTTTCTTTCTAGTATATCAAATTATCCAAGCTCTCTAGCTTTTTTCTATTGTAATATTTACGCCAACCCAAATTCAAATCGTAAATATTTCATTTCAACCAAGTCAGTAAATGTTTGTAGCAAACTGTTAAATTAGCAAACTTATTGACTGTTCACAATTAACATATGTTCTTCTTCTCACTTTTAATTTGACAACAGCTGGAGTTTCATCCCATGTTAATCTTACGGAGAAATACAAAACTTAAAAGGGCCCCAGGGCCTCATTCTTTAAGTATTTCCCTAAAAAGAAAGTTACCTGCACAACTTCACGTTACACTCTTTCCAATGACACTAAAAACATGTCAATCGGTTCAGTAGTTTCGGAGGAGTAATTGTCACAAAAAAAGTATATAGATTACGTATAAAAGTATATAGTATTAAAGTATATAGATAATCTGGTAATTGTCCAACCAGATAAATGGAAATTTGCTCAGTCTGCAGGTTTGCTGCAGCACAGGTATTTTGTATTCAAAAATATTATAAAGTAAATAAACTAAAATTTTTTGTATCTCTAATTTACTATTCCAATTGAATAGCTCTGCCGAACATTTAGTAATAAAAGTGAATCTTTTCAGAAAACACAAAAATGTTCTGGCCGTGCCAATGGCAACAGAGTCAGTCTCCCGCTCCTGTGTATTCCATCAATTAATTGTAAGTGCTACCAACCTTGCAACCTATACATTATAGGTTTATAGGTCTATATGTTTATCTTTTAAAACTAAATAAACACCACACCGTATAGAAAGTCGTTTGCATAGTTGTTCTTTAAAAATCTCAATTTCGACGTTGTTCAGCAGGGTATTAAATTATTATTGGCTGATGATTGGGTTTACTTTTTGTTTCCATTCTAATACTAGCAATTTTGCCCACCCCAGCTCAAGGCTGTTGCCGATGTCGCAGGAGACGATTACTGATGTCACGGAGATCCTAAGTTATGCTCCTCCCGATATCAGACCTTTTGGCCGTTCCGACCCTGGCCCGGTTCTGTTATGGTCGGATATGAAGGGTTCTATTGTATATCTTTTTAAATTTTATATAATTTTACCTGAATGTACTTAAAAAAATAATGTTTCCTTTTTAACTACCCATATAGATTTTAAATTTTATATTTATTGTCAATATAGCTTTCAGATTTTGTGATGTTTCCGATTATTGGGAAAAGGCCTCATGAAATAAAAATTACAAAATATTGATAAAGTTACCGTACTGTATTTTAAAACCCAGAGAGATGTTTTTGAAGTTTAGTTCAAGATTATACCAAGTTACTTCTTTATTAGTTAGAGTAGTCTTTTTACGTGCTCCTGCTTAATGTTGTAGTTCCAGAATATTGAAAAGGCTTTACTATACTGAATGACCGAAATCGAATAGGACACAACTTTATTACTAGTAAGACGTAGAGCAAAAAAAAGTATTAAAGGGTTTTTCTTTTTCTGATTAACTACAGGTACAATGGATATTTATAGAATCAAGTAATTCTAGACTAGAGTAATTAAAAAGATAGTTTATTAAATAAAAACAGCTTAACAAAATATCCGTTTAATTACTCAAGATAAAAATGTTTATGATGAACCAGTCTTGCGGGGAGCTGGCTTGCCTCCTTCACGGAATCCATTCCTAAAACAAACAGAGAGTAACTGTTATAAATGGTCATAAATACAATACTTTACTTTATTAGAGGTCTAACAATGCCCCATGATAGTGGCCTGATAAACTCTTAAAAATATGTCTTGCGATATTTTATCAACCAAGGCATTGTCAATCTTTTCAGCTTGGTTTACAGGCTTCCTTCATTGTAGTTGTTAGCCTCCGGATTGCCAAATAATATTAGAAAAGGTTTTAAATACCTGCTACTAGGCAATCCAATTTTGTTGTTAGCACTTTGCACTAGTTTCGGTGTCTGTGTGACACCATCATCAGGCTGCACAAGGACAGTTTTCTTTCTTCATACGAAGAGCGTCATATTTACACGAAAATAAATAAACATTTAAACACGACACAAACACGAATACGAGACATTTATGGTAACTGATCAGTTAAGAAAACAGACAGTTACCGTAAATTTCTCGTATTTGTGTTTGTGTCGTGTTTAAATGTTTATTTATTTTCGTGTAAATATGACGCTCTTCGTATGAAGAAAGAAAACTGTCCTTGTGCAGCCTGATGATGGTGTCACACAGACACCAAAACTAGTTGTGCTAACAACAAAATTGGATTGTGTAGCGTCTTGGTACGGGAGGGACGGGTTCGATCCCTGGCACATCCACAAAACTTTAATGGGTTTTGACCGCTTTCCCTTAAAAGTGTTTGACTTCATTACAAAAATGCCACAGGCGTAGACACGAGAAAAAAAATAATACATAAAAATGATTTGTATCTTGATCAGTACTGTAGTTTTCTCGGAGTAGGCCGCATAAATTGACAATATGGCGTTCCAGACAGAATGACAGACAGACAAAAATTGAGATAAGACTCGTTTCGGCTTTCTTAAGCTATGAAACGTAAAAATAACCAAAATCTGCATGATTCTACTCAATGTAATAAACTGTAATTTTGTTTATATAGATTAACTTGGTACAGCACATATCCTATACCCAACTAGTACGGTACTCGATTTGTAAAAATGAGGTGCTGGAACTGTAACCTATTTAGTATGATTTGTACCTATTTATGCCAATATTTTTATCATTCCGAAAGAAAGGTACCTACCGGAACTCTGTTCTGCCGCGTTGCCCCCCAAATCTAGCTATCACTACCTATATTACCTATAGGCTATTATACACAAACATCTTATATATTTAAAAAATTTGGTTTTTCTTTTCCAAGTTCGTTTGGCTCTTCTACGCGACCGATTTTCATGATTGAGGTCTCAAATTGAAGGTATGCACTAGGGTGGGTCGAAACAAATCAATAGTTTTTTTTTCGAGTTGTAATAGGCTACCTTGGAAAAATTGCTAAGTTGTAGGACCAACACAGGGTTAAAATAGTTTAAAAATTGGATGTTATCTTCCTGTCGCACATGTGCTCTAAAGTTTGAAAAAAAATTAAAAACCCATATCCTAAAGAAATTAAATTAGAAACTTCCAATTGAAAAAGTTTCTTATCAACAAGGCTATGTACCCCTTTAGAGAGTTTTAGTTCTATATTATTCTAATTATTAATTGCTCTATTTCATTTAAATTGAAACTTTTGGTTTTAAAATAATTTTATCTGTATTTTTAATTTTGATATTTTCATGTATAAACTTTCATATTGCATTGCTTGTTTTAATTTATTTGATCTGGAAAGCTATTAAAATGGATGGTATGTTGTTATGCCATGCATGATAATGATGAGTATTTTAGCTAATTAAGTTAGTTTTATTAAATTACTCTTGACGCCATTCCTGTATTGATGTATTGTACTTAAATGAATAAAGTTATATGAAATGAAATGAAATATTTTAACAGAAATTTTGACAATTTTAAAATTTTTATTTTTAATATGTTAAAGTGGAAGAATCGATATTTGAATAAATAAAAGTATTGAATGTTAATATCTTCTGGTCGCGCAGCGTCTGTAAATATTGCCAAAAATCAAGAAAAACATCATTTTGTACTAGTATTATTTAAAATGTAATAATCGATATCAAAATGTAATACCGAAAATCTGTTGTACACATTCATATAGTAACCTAACAAAAACAACAGACGAAGTCAGAATTGATCTAGCGGCCGCGCATAGCAATACAAATTCACTTTATCACGGCACTTTCAGGTCAGTGATTATCATTAACTTAGGTGTCACACCATGTGATTCCCAAGTATAAGCTTTGTATAAGTTAAGATTCCGAAATGTCAAAATGTGAGTTTTAAAGAAGGTAATATTAACACATTTAAGGGAAAGCGCACCATACCCATTAAATGTTTTGTAGATAAATATGTCAGGAATTAAACCCACCCCTCTTGCACCATAGCCCTAGACGCAAACCACTAGGCTAGCAACACACTCATAGCTGATTCAAATTTCTATCAGTACATTCTGCAATTCCCTTAATAGAAATGGTTTCAAAATTACCCACATATCAAAGATAATTTGTTATTAGAGTGATAGTTTACCTGAACCTCCTGCGAACGACCTTGAGGTGACGCATGCGGCCAGTGCCAGTGGTCTTCCTGCTCTGAGCCTTGACACTCCAGTTATCTGACAAAAATAAAACTCATTAGTAACAAAGGCTATGCAATGGATACCTTATTGTAATGTTAAGAAAAGTAAACGGTAACCTTAAACATTAGGTACAATTTGTTGTAGTTCATCTAGACACTATTATTAACAGTTTAATGTAAAGACTTGAAAGACAGCATTATTAAAAAAGAATGGTGCAAAACTAAACGGTTGGGTCAGTCTCGTGCTTTAAAACAGCTTATTGTTACACCAATGGAAAGGGTGTGGATAATGATATAAGTTTGTTTTGACAAGGTTATGTTTTGTACCACGAATGTGTTATGTTCGTACCACGAAGCCTGCAAACAAAATGGCTAGGCCTACGGCAAAACAAGGAAAAGGTTTGTAGGTTTAGAATATGATTGCATTATTAAGTAATCCAATATTAAAGATACCGTAGTATAAAAGTCCTCTGACACAGTTAGCAACAGCGTGACAAAAGAAGAGAGATGAGTCCTAAACTCCTTTACACCCTGCCTACTAAATCTGATTTATCACATAATACCTTCTAGGAACATCAGAAATAGTAGTAAGTTAGAAATTGTATTATATATTTTTTTCAATAACTGGTGCTGTTTGGCACTACAACTTTGAAACAAAACTAAAAAAAAAAATCAATTTTATACAATATATTAAAACAATCACTGGTATTTAAGGCAACACCAGCAACCGTCTCCCGCAATCGCGGCAACACCCATGAGCATATTTTGCGGTTTTGGCGACACCGATAATCGTTTCCAGCGATCGCGGCAATACCCATTATCATTTTGCGGTTTCGGCGACAACAATAATCAGTTCCTGCGATCGTGGCAACACCAGCGGTACTCTTTCGGTTAACCGACGTTTCCGATTGCCTGGCTCTGGATTCCTGGTGGTTTGGGTTAATTCCTGGAGTTTTCCAGGATACACCATGCTTTACCAAATTTGTCTGCATTGGTTTTCATCTTCAGGGGAACGGGCAGTGCATTTAACAGTTCAATGCCTTTGTAAAATAGATGGTTTTCAAAAATCACAGTTTTGTTGTTTGCATGTCTATATTGAACCGGCTTCTCAAACCATAGGAGATAGGGTGAACAGGTTTTGGAAATGTCAGGTTGGATGAGTCAATTCAAGACAACTGGATATTTGTATGCCGGGAAAAGCTCGGGCTGTCATCAGACTCCGCCAGACGCTGGGAAGAGAATCGAGGCCAAGTTTGCACAGAGTCCAAAAACTTTTGACAGTCAAAACTAGTAGGGAATTTACAACACCGCAGTCGCCGGTTTTACCTAAGCTTTTGTGATGATACCGTACAAACTGCAGCTATTACAAGCATTGAAGCTTACTGACAAGCCAAAACGCATTTATATTTTTGCCATGATAGCTTTGATTCTTGTTGTTGATGCTACAGTCCAACCTCAGTTTAACGAATCTGAAGAGACCGAACTAAATTTTCGTTATATCAAGGATTTTGTTAAAACAAGGTTTTTTATATTGAGGTTAGGTTTGCTAGAAGTCGAGGCTCAGAAACTGCATTGGGCGCGGCGCGGACCAAATCAGTATTATGATAGCGCTATCTAAATGTCAATTGTGTATTCGTACCGTATTAATGTCTTCTGTGTTCGTGTTTTAAATGTGTTTTTGACGAGTTGCAAGCTTTGATAATGTTGTCTTCGCAACGAAACATGTAAGCTGTTGAGCAATACCATTTTTGGACTATTTGACTGAGGTATGTAAAAAACCTATTATTGTCTTAACAATATAGTCCAGGGGCCGAAAACATGAATTTTGAGTAAATATAGGTTGAGATTTTACCTCATTAAAACACAATTAAGTAGCATAGGCTACTACAATACTTTACAGTACAGTGTTTACATTGTAAAGTAGAACCTGGATTATCCAGGGTAATAAGGTGGAGGGAGACTATGGATAGGTAGTGAAAACGAAAACCACAGTTATCCAACATGGTTTAAAAAAGGTGGCAAACCTTAACACTAATCCAGGTGTAAAAAAAAAACATTGCTATTCTTTCTCTTTGTTCTTTAGTTCTTTCTTAGGTTTCCCTTCGTCAAAAAATTCATTAAGTTGCCATAGTTACTTATCACACAATCCCAGTTTACTAAGCTTTACATCGTCATCAGTCCTCTGTGAATGAAATCAGTTGGGACATAGCGCAAAGCAGACGGTTGTGTAAAACAGAGCAGACGAATGTTAGCGCAAGCGTTGACATCACCTTTCCATTTCATTTTCATCAAAAAACTGCGATGTTTCAAAAACAGTAATGTGGGGGTGGGGTTCGTTATATATCGAGAGAAAGACATAGAGAATTCATTCGTTTTCACATATAACCCCTCAAACACAGTAGAGGTTAAATTCGCTATGAAGAGGTTCTGGCAATAATAAATTCGTTATATATGGGTTTGTTTGTTATGTAGAGGTAAAATAAGTTAGCCTATTCATTGTGTCTTATGGAGAGTTCTAGGGGATTTAAAAATATTCGTTATATCAAGGAATTCGTTATATTGAGGTTCGTTATATAATGTATTTGATTTTGATGACAGGATTCTTGGTACCGTACTCAACTAAGGAACTAAGACAAACCATAACCTTGTAAAAAAAAAAAAACTTAAAAAATCAGCTAGGCCTATTTGAAATCATGGAAACAGAAGTACCGGTACCAATAATTTATTTTTGCACTCTTTTGCATTCTTTATTAATAACCCTGTATTAGAACCCAGGTTGAGCTGCATATGGTGATGAATAATACATGCGGTAGGTACTTCTTAAGGGGGGGTAATTCTATTGGTGATCAAATTTCAAATATCTGAGGATTTAAATTAAGTACCCACAATTGGTGCATTTCATTTCATGCCTTAAGAAGCCACCATCTATAACTTAAGTTATATATGAAACAAATTACAAAAAACTCAAAAGGAAATACTAAATACTTACAATGTCTAAGTTTGGAGTTGGGGTATCCGCACTGGGCACACTTTGACTTTTGGATGTGATATGACGAGCGACCACACCGCCTGCACAAGGTGTGGGTCTTGTTGCGCCGTTTACCAAAGCTTGATGTACCCTTCGTCTGAAATAGAAATAAATTTGAAATTAAAAGACTTTGGGTAACAATGATTCTCTGCATTTATACAATAATAAGAATCTATAGGCTAACCTTAGAAAAGGGCCAGGCCTAGATCTACACTCAGTTAGGGTTGAATGCTTAGACAATATTATTTTACTCGCAACTTAGATAAGTATCCAATAATAACTTAGTAAGCCTAAGTTAGTCCTTAACCCTCTATCTGGCGCTGGTCGATTATAGACCAAGATGACATGGGTCGGGTTTTTCTATTATTAAAATATGAAAACAGTTTTAAAACGCAATAAGTAAATCTTATACCATTAGAAAGATGAGATTCTGAGGATTCATTTTCATACATAAAACATTATTCAGTGAGTATTATGTAGCGAGAAACGGTAGTTTGAAAAACTAGAGAGTTCAAAATAGATTTTGGCGGTGGAAAGTTTTGGTCACCTGACTACAAAAACAGCTGTTTTTGGCGATTGTCAATTAAATTGTATACAATATTAGTACATATTCTGAAACTACAATAAATTCCCTACAATTCCCTGTGAATCTATAGGCCTAAGGTTGATTGTAAAAATTTTATTTGTTTTTAAAACTGTCATAAATATTATGTTTTTGTAAAAAAATCTTCAAAATTATACATTCCAACGTAAATTTCTCCGACATTTTAGAATTCAACTAAATATATTTTCAGAAAGATCTTTTTATTACCTATTGTACAGTATCATTTCATTTTTTGTTGATGCATTCTATTATTTCCTACGTGACAAAAAGAAATTTGGTAGTTTTTCAAAAAAGAAAATACGTATGAAGAATTTATTTTTTTATACCTAATTTTATTTTTATGAGTATTTAAAAAACATTGATATTTCTACGTAGGGAATCATATTTCACACAAACTTTACATTTAGATAAAATGTGTAAAAAATTATTTTGTGGTTTTCTTGTGGGTTGCTTTTGAAATTTCTAATTTGCATAATCCAAAAATTTGCAAACCTTTTGCTACTACGCCTAAACGCGTTACTAGAAAAAGAATATTTTTATATTATTATATTCTAAATTCATCACTGAAATAGAAAATATATGTATGTGTGTACTTATATTCACAAATAAATGTTCTGTGGCAAAATATATGATACCACTACAAAAGCGCCAAAATATACCCGCCACTGGTGAATAAAATGACCGCCAGATCTATGGTTAAGTTTAATAATTTAAATCGAAGAAACTCAACGATTATTTCTGTGTTCTGTTGATTTATGGAAGAATTGGGTAGGCCTACTTTGGTATTATACCGACCACACCTCGTAAATATAACTTGAACTAATTAAACTTATTTAGATGACAATTTATCGGTGTGGTCAGTATTTTGCCAAAGTACAAAGAATTGTTTAATAATCTCAACAAACTATGCTATTCACCAGAGGATCAATAATACCGGCATAGGCCTACCGATATCTGAAATAAGAAACTTGCTTTTTAAGATTTTTCTAAAGATATGATTAAGTTAGAGCTGAAAAAGTTTGTTTGGATTGAAAACTAACGTGACATCTTTCCCAAAGTAAATGCTTGCTACTTAATTAATTAAGCTTAGGTTTGGCATTTTAGCAGCAGTGTTTTGAAGTTGTTTTTCTGGGTTTTAATTGTACAAAAACAGTCTTTAAGTAACATAAACCAACATCTCAATTCATTATAACTTAAACTTGACCTTCCTAATCTAACCTCCTGTATCTCCAGGGATATGGCAACCCTATTCGAACGCTAAGCTGTTTTACTAGCTGCGTGTAAAAATGTGGTTTTAATTGTACAAAAACATTCTTTAAGTAACGTAATAAACCAACATCTCAATTCATTTAGTTATAACTTAAAACTTTACCACCCTAGCCTAATTTAACCTCCGGTCTCTCCGGGGATATGGCAACCTTAATCACACTTCCTTCCTATTTTGCGGCGTGTAGCTTGTAAACTCGCCGAGTGTGAACGGGGCTCAAGTAATGGTAACTTAAGTTAGGCCTGTGGATAGGCCTAAGCCTTAGGCTAGGTTAAATATGATTTCACCCCATTTATTTTGGTTGCACTATGCATTTTTAGTCTTGGTGACAAAATTACTTAAAAATCCCAAGTGTTCGTAATTATGAAATTTACCTTGCCAGCATGTCAACAGGCTTGGGCCTAATCCTCAGATGTTAGGTCAACAGCCTAGCCTATATATGAGGCAAGTAGGTTTAAAGCGGACGTTTGTATGAATAACTTGACTGAGCAATAAGCTAAATAAAAATAACTGAAATCTAGTAAAAAGCTTGGCATTACAAGTAAGTTGAATAAAATATTGTTAACAGACTAGGCCTAGTTAGGTTATAAAGGAGAGATAACTTAGAAGTGTTATTTTAGCGAAGGATAATTACTCAAATACGACGCAAATATAGGATTATATGAGTAAAAGACAATGTTAAACAGATATAGCACCTTAGAATTACTAGGATTATAAATAAAAAGACAGATGTAGTAATAACAATTGCTCACCATTTTCGATTTGACGAAAAACGAAAACCGGAAAAGGGCCGTCCAACTCAAGGGAAAAGTGAGGTTATGTTACAGAGTTTCAGATAGGAAATCAAAATTAATCAGGATGACCAACTAGGAAAAATTGCTTAGAAAGAAAACTTCATCATTACTTTCAAACAACATGTATTGTATTATACTCCTTCGAGCTTTACAACTTTAATAGCTATTGACACATTGACTACTACAATAAAACGCTTTTTCACTAATAGACGAATTAGTTTTAGGACTTACGTTACTAGAGCCAGACTAGATTTTACCATATTTTACTTATGATTTAGAAAGTGTAAAGTCGAAGCATGTCAAAGTCTTAACGAAAATGAAAATTACGTATTACATATATGATGATGTATTGGCTGGTTGGCTTAAGTAGTGGCAGTGGCACAAAGAGACGACGCTTTGAGCTTTTTCCCCCATAAGAATAACATGGTGATAATTTTTAGCAAATTTTTTAAAGGCCCTGCTCTCGGCCTATTAACCCCTATACTACAAAATTTCCATACTATTGTCCAACTCCATAAACATTTCCAACCCATATCCATTCCCATATGTTTTCAAAATCATGCGATATTTGCACGAGAACTACGGCGCGCTCCCGACCCATATTATTTCTCTTCTCCAGCGGTGATACGATTGGGACATCTAATCTAATCTATACTTTTCCCACTGAAAGTTTAAATAAAAAAATCACCATGTTCACAAAGAGTAACTTTTTATTGTTCATTCTACAAGCTAGTGATAGGGGGTGGTGAAATGCCAACATCCTTTGTGGAAATCCATGAGTTCTGGCTCCTTGGGAACCCAATCCATTTGACATATGTTACCATAAATTTGTTGACATAAATTACCCTTCCTCCTAATCACCTTATCTACCAAATACGTGTCTTTATACTTGGTCTTTAACAACTTCTCTGTATAGAACTTCCCTGCCCTGATTATAATGTCATTTTCATCTTTAAAAATATAAGTCAGAGGCCTTGTTTTCTTCATTTCTGTATTGTAAATAGCTCCCCCGTCCAATTTGGGGTAGGTATATATATAGCTTTTTTATAAAAGAGGTTGGCGGCCTCTTTTAAACTTGCATTTGTCCGTCCACATAGACTGACTGTCCGTGCGTGGAACGTATCCAGCAAAGCAAGAGCAAGGGATGAGCCGGTACAGAGCAAAGGTGAACTGTACTGATAAAATGTTTTTGGCAGTGACCAGGATCAGAACCCACGACATCGCTGCCTTGGGCCCGAAGTCCGTGACGGTACCGACTCACCACACACTTTACTAAACTCTTATGTTTATAACTGGAAATTCTTACGCTATCACCCACCTTATATCTCGGCTTTTTAACTTACACTTCAGTCGACACTGAAGTCAACCACTCATGCACATATTTACTATTTTTAACACTCACTTGGTTTGGCTTAATTCCTATCAACCTATGCAACCTATGTCGATTTTTGCTTGGTTTGATTTTTAAGTCTTGATATTTATTTTATTTTATGCTTGTACATCATGCTTGTACATTGACATAGCCTGTAACAATGTTGTTGTTGATTCGCCAAATAAATTTATTGTATTCATTGTATTCATTGCACCTTATTATTATATTTTATAATTAACTTTGGGAGTAAATCAAAACATTTATAGCTCCCCTGAGCACTAAATTCCCTATATGTTACAAATTCTTTAAAGTTCTCTGGAACCTTTCCACAATTGCAGCCTTTAGTTGTAGAAAAAGTGTGATAGTGATTAATATTTAATTTTGTCATTAGTTTGCTAAAAAATATTCATTAAAAAAATTCTTTTCCATTATCAGATTGAATGTTTTAACAGCCTTAGGCAGTGGCTTCTGTAACCACGAACACTGTCTTATTCTTTAGTGGAGCAGCATAGTGAGTACAGTAGTACGTAATGAAACCCCATTTGATTAAGCTGGCAGCAAAAACAGCTGTTTTCTGGACAAAATTCTTGAGTGGGAAGCTCGTTCGTTTAAAGTATTTGCTATAGTATTCGTGGTTAAAACTGTATAGTGTGGGGTAAAATATTTTTATATATTTAACTAATTTAATTGACTTTGGGTTACTGAAGCAAAACATCCCATCCAAAGTCCAGCTGTTGCGAATTTTTATTAAAACAGAGTATGAGCCATTCACAGAGTGCAAGTTAGTTTTTAACAAAATACAAAGCTTAACTTAGTTTTTATTTTTTTTTTTTTTAATGAAAGTCATAACCTAGCCTGAGTTGGAAGTAGAAAGGAATTTATCTTAATGTTAAAAGGGGGGGGGGATCTGAGCGAATTGACGCTTTAAATTATGTAAATAACTGAAGTTAATATGAAATGTATAATCAATTTGGTTTTTACCAATTTTATGGCGTTATAGGCATATGCTAAATCACATCTTTTATGGCTAAGCTACCAATATTTTGTATGGATGGAGCGTCTTGTTACCCTAAATAAAAGTGGGGATGGAGAGATTATCCAGCTAACAAATAGAGCTCTTTCAAAATATAGTTATTTTTATTTGACAATTTATTGTATACTAGCTGTAACCCGCGGGCTTTGCCCCGTTTCACTTCTTAATTTTCAAGATGATCTCGTTCGCATGGCTCAATCATGTCCTGGTTGAAGTTCGTTCGCTACGCTCACTCACCTTTAGGTTGGAGCTCGTTCGCTACGCTCACTCATCTTTAGGTTGGAGCTCGTTCGCTGCGCTCACTTGCCTTCAGGTTAGCTCGTTCGCTACGCTCACTCGCCTCGAGGTTGAAGTTCGTTCGCTACGCTCACTCACCTTTTGGTTACAAATTAGCTGTTGTCATAAATGTAAAAGAAATAATGGTGCTGCACCCTGTTGGTAATCCTTGTAACTTTAATGCTATTGAACATCATAGAACAGAACCAACTTGTTTAATTGAAACAGCTGTTAAGATTCATTAATTCCATTTAAATATAAGTACTCATAAGATTAACATGGGAAATTCCAGAGCCACTGGGGTGGAGCCCGAGAGTCCGATCAGAATAAAAACCACTTAGTTTTCCTATTTAATGCCTAAAGAATCAGTGTACCAAATTTCAGCCTCCTAGGTAAATGGGAAGTGGGAGAATTAGTGATGAGTGAGTGAGTGAGTGAGTGAGTCAGTCAGTGAGGGCTTTGCCTTTTATATATATAGATATTTCACCGTACCATCTCAAGAACTGTAGACATTATCCCATGTCAAGTTGAAATAATAACAACGATCTATCAATATTAAACATTTTAAATAAACAACCAATTTTTGCGATTTGACACTTTGACATTTGTAAAGGCAGACAAGACTACAAGTACAACGGTACAACACTGTCACAAAAGTGCAGATTAGTAATCTTGGAAAGCTGGAATATGGGATACGTGCCATTATAATGACGTCATTCATGGAGCGTCCCTTGAGCCTTGCGCGAACTCGACCCCCAAGTTTAGTTCCAATCCAATTCCAATCCAAAATCCACGACCTTCTAGTCGAAGGAGGAGGTGCAGATGTCGCGCATGCGCACAAGCACTGCTATGCTGTCACTGTTATTTGCACAGTTTAGCAGTCCACTGGCACGGCACTGTGTGTGTGGTGACTAAAGCCGTGAAGCATAGGTCTCTTTCTAGGGCTAGGCTAGAATTGTATTGCTAACCATTTAGTGGTGGATTTTATTATTATTTTCGTGTATGCCTATATTACTATAGGATGTGTTGGTATACACTTTTACACCCTTTTTAGCTTAGTAGGCTACACATATTTATTTTTAGTATCGATATTTTACTCCGATATTGCTACTATCAATATTTCACTCCAATATTTTTTTTAGTAGCCCATAAATTAGTATATTAACTCAGATATTTATTTTTTACCATCATTTTATTGTTTTACTAAACCTCGATGTTTTTCTCCAATATCTATCGATATTTTGATTTTGATATTCTTTTGACATCGATGTTTAAAGGGCGATCGATACTAATATCGACGTTACTGATGTTTCGATGTCCCAACACTGTGCTAAGTCCTGGAAATACAAGTTAATCTAGGCTTAGGCATAGAAGTACCGGTAGGCCTATAAGAGATACATCTACATACCTTTTATTCGTCAGTTTGAAAAACAAACTCTTCAGCTTCAAGTGAGATGTTGATATTGTGAGTTTGTAGAATATGATTTCTAAGGTTTTTGTACCACCAGAGAAATTGTTGATTGCATTCTTTCTCGGGGCATAACAACTTGGACGAGGTAAGTCTTTTGTTAGTACCACTGTGCACATTTCTTTGGTGTCTTTTTAGTGAATACGCCGAAGAAAATAGTTCATTACAGGTTTTACATTCCATATTTAAAAATTAATCAAAGTTAACATAACTCATCCTTGGTCTAAGTTACTCACGTGGGGTGTCATAGCTTATAATGTCATAGCTTATAATCGTGAATTTGTTCCATAGATTATAATGTTGAAAATGTGGCATAGCTTATAATCAGTTATAAGCTATGCCACACTTTCACGAAAAATTATAAGCTATGCCACAATTTCTCTAAAACGTTATAAGGTATGACACATTTTCAGTTTCACAACTTATAATGGTCAAATAGTGGCGCAGCTTATAATTCCGATTCTGTTCTATAGCTTATAATCCTGATTTTGAGTCATACCTTATAATCCTGATTTTGGGGCATAGCTTATAATTGAAGAGAATGTTGCATTGTGGGAATGGCATCAGCTGCTCGTTTCAGTCAGGTCTACCATATATACGATATTTTATGGTAGGATACGATAATTATTGTAATTGACCGTACTGACAACTGCGATATCGTAATTTATAACCTAAACATTTATTTATTTAAATGTTTTAAACGATTTTTATACGAGAAATGGCAACAATTACATGCTATATGACAATGAAAATGCAAGAAATATTTATAGTGAGAAGTTAAAAGATATGAAAATGAAGTGAAGGATAACGGCATTGAAAATTAATGAATCTTGTCAATAGTCCGGCTGGTGTTGACAGAAGATAAAGAAGAGGAACAATAATTATTAATAAATTGTAAACATCAAAAAA